TTATATTTGAAAATAAAAATAAAAATAAAATAAAAAAGGAAAGGCGAGGGTTATCTATGGTCAATGAATAATCCAGTTCAGCAATTTCCCGCCACCATGGAGTTAGGAGAAAAGCTAGGAGATTAGGTGAGTGAGGAAAGTGGTACCCATACCGTACGGTCAGCCTTCGCCGCTTCATTCTGAAACACGGCGAGAAGTAAGGTGGTGAGTCGACGGGTATACCATAGGATTGGGATCTACACGTAACCCATATCAGTACCAACGACAGTAGCAACAGCAACAGCAAAAATGACAACAACAGCAATGATTAAAATAGCAATGAAACCACCACCCCCAACGACAACAACATGGACGACAACCACTTTCACGTAAACAACGATGACAGCAATACATGTAGCAACAACAACAACAACAACAATAACAATAACAACAGCAACAATAAAGAAATAATCCCAGACAACAACAAGGACAGCAATCACTTCAACACACACAAAAACAACAACAGCAAAACCACCATCAAACCACATTAACAAGGAAAACAACCACTGCCCACACAAACTAAACCAACAGCTAAAACTGCAGTCTCAGCAAACAGTAGCAGATGTTGACTTTGTTGGCCAATCCTTCAACAAGCTGTACAGTAGCCAATAATCGCTACCACAGAGTTACAACGTTTTATCTGCTCAATACCCTAGTTTTGGTAAGTTAGACGTAAACAATTTTCAGCTTCCGACAGGTAACGCTTCAACTTCAAGTATCTTTATAACGACTCCGAACAATGTTAGGATTCCGATTAGCAAAGAACATAATTTGGTTTCTGACTTCATTGTTTTAGTCATTCAAATAGGCCAAAACGTCCAACAGAACTTTGTAATTCTAAGGTATTGAAGAAACTACTGCTCTGTTCCAGCTGTATGTCGTATCTGAGCTAATCGATGACCGGTGGTTGAAGATTGACGGTGGAAACTGTGTGTGTGTGAGTCTGCTGTCTGATATGTAAACACCAAGGCGACATGGTAGACACAGACACACTTTCAGAAACCAGGAATTAGGAAAAGAGAATTTGTTGTGAATGGCGGGGGCGAAAATATCGATGACGTCAATGATAAGG